TGAATTTCACAACAATTGGTATCAGAGCTCTTGGTTTATTTTAGTATGCTCTGTGGTTGCGGCTTAGGCTGATATTCCACATCAGAAAAATTTTCTTGGGATAATTGACATTCTGCATTGGCAGCTATTAAATAGAATTTGTAGCAGAAATGGCAGACGCTTCTTCATCTTCAATTTTGGCAAGAAATGCTGTGACAAATGTTAGATTTGCAGTGGAGATTTTTGATGGCACCGGTCATTTCGGCATGTGGCAAAGCGAGGTTCTAGATGCCCTATTTCAGCAGGGTCTAGACATTGCTATTGAAGGAGAGAAACCAGATGATGTTGAGGAGAAAGAATGGAAGAGGATCAATAGAATGACATGTGGTACTATTCGATCGTGTCTTTCTAGAGAGCAGAAGTATGCATTTTCTAAGGAAACTTCTGCAAGTAAATTGTGGAAGGCACTGGAGGAGAAATTTTTGAAGAAAAGCGGTCAGAACAAACTCTACATGAAAAAGAGACTGTTCCGCTTCAACTATGTATCAGGTACCACTATGAATGATCACATTACTAGCTTTAATCAGCTGGTGACTGATCTGATGAATATGGACGTGACTTTTGAAGACGAAGATCTGGCTCTGATGTTGATGGGATCACTTCCTGATGAGTTTGAGTATCTTGAAACTACTCTACTTCATGGGAAGGTTGATGTGTCTCTCAGTGAAGTAACTGCTGCCTTGTATAGTTATGAATTGAGAAAGAAAGACAAACAAGAAAACACAAGTGTCGAAGCAGAAGCTCTTGTTGTTAGAGGCCGTTCCAAGAGTCAGAATAAAGGAAGCAGAGGGAGATCGAAGTCAAAGTCCAGATTGAGCAAAGATGAATGTGCCTTTTGTCGAGAAAAAGGGCACTGGAAGAAAGAATGTCCCAGGCTAAAGAATAAAGGCAAACCTGAAAGGGGGAAGGCTGTCTCAGAATCAAATGTGGTCGAGTATGATGATGGAGATTCAGATTTCGCATTCACTGCTACGCCATCAACCATCTGTTCCAGTTCATGGCTGTTAGATTCAGCTTGTAGCCACCATATGACCCCCAATAGAGAATGGTTCTTTGATTTTAAAGAACTAAAAGGTGAAATTGTCTACACAGCAAATAATTCCCCTCTTGACACACTTGGGATTGGTTCAATTCGCTTGAGGAATTAGGATGGATCAATCAGAACCTTAACAGGTGTCCATTATGTACCAGATTTAATGAGAAATCTCATCTCTGTGGGAACCTTAGAGTCAAAAGGTTTAGAAGTGAGGGCAAAAGATGGGATTATGAGGATTATCTCTGGTGCACTGGTGATAATGAAGGGAATCCGAAAAAGAAACAATGTGTATTACTTTCTGGGTAGTACAATTGTTGGGACAGCAGCAGTGGCAGCTTCTACTGATGAACAGGAGTCAGAAGCAACCAGGTTATGGCATATGCGCTTGGGGCATGTTGGTGAAAAATCCTTGAAATTACTGATAGATCAAGGATTATTGAAGGGTGCTCGGGCTTGCAAATTAGCTTTTTGTGAGCATTGCATCAAAGGGAAGAAGACGAGGGTGAAATTTGGAACAGCAATCCATGATACTAAAGGTATTTTGGATTATGTTCATTCAGATGTATGGGGGCCTTCCAAGACAGCTTCATTGGGAGGAACACACTATTATGTCACCTTTGTTGATGATTTTTCCCAGAGAGTTTGGGTGTATCCAATGAAGACAAAGGATGAGGTGCTAGGATTTTTCCTTAAATGGAAAAAGATGATGGAGACTCAAACAGGCAGAAAAATCAAACGTCTCCGTACAGACAATGGTGGAGAGTACAAAAATGATCCATTTCTGAAAGTCTGTGAAGAGGAAGGTATTGTTAGGCACTTCACTGTCAGAGGTACACCACAACAGAATGGAGTGGCAGAGCGTATGAACCGGACATTAGTGGAGAAGGTTCGGTGTATGTTGTCTAATGCTGGGTTAGGCAAAGAATTTTGGGCTGAGGCTTTGGTCTATGCTTGTCACCTTGTCAACCGCTTACCATCGACTGCTATTGGTGGTAAAACACCATTAGAGAAATGGTTTAGAGTACCTGCTACAGATTATGATTCCTTACATGTGTTTGGTTCCACTGCATACTACCATGTTAAGGAGTCAAAGCTGGATCCAAGAGCAAAGAAGGCGATTTTTATGGGGATCACCTCTGGTGTGAAAGGCTATCGTCTTTGGTGTCCAGAAACAAAGAAAATAATCTTCAGCAGGGATGTTACCTTTGATGAATCTACCATGTTGAGAAAGGTGACTTCAGAAAAATTGGAGCAGACAGATGAAACTCCCAAAAAGGTGGAGTTTGAAGGAAGCAAATTTGTCCCAACCAGTAAAGAAAATGATGTTGACTCTCCTATGGTAGAAGAAGAGTCAGATGAAGAAGAGGTTCAGACCCAAGAACCTCCACAGCAACATGAATCAATTGCACTCAGAAAGGGAAAGAGGACCATTAGACAACCTGCTCGTTATGCTGATATGGTCTCTTTTGCATCACCAATTGCAATTGATGACGTTTCTGCCACTTTTAATGAAGCAGTTCAAAGTTCAGAACATAAAAAGTGGAGGATTGCCATGAATGAAGAAATGCAATCCCTTCAAAAGAATCAGACGTGGAAACTAGCTAGTCTTCCGAAGGGAAAGAAGGCAATTGGGTGCAAGTGGGTATATGCAAAGAAAGATGGATTTCCTGACAAGAATAACATCCGCTACAAAGCAAGATTGGTGGCTAAAGGCTACGCTCAAACGGAGGGAGTTGATTATAATGAAGTATTTTCTCCAGTTGTAAAACATTCCTCCATCAGAATTTTGTTGGCTTTGGTAGCGCAGTTGGATTTGGAACTAGTTCAGATGGATGTAAAAACTGCATTTTTACATGGAGACTTGGATGAGGAAATCTACATGACTCAGCCAGATGGATTCAAAGTTGCTGAAAAAGAAGAGATGGTGTGCAAATTAGAAAAATCGCTGTACGGATTGAAGCAATCTCCAAGGTAGTGGTACAAGCGATTTGACAAGTTTATGATAGGGCAGAAGTACACAAGAAGCAAATATGATCATTGTGTGTATTTACGCAAGCTAGAAGACGGATCCTATATATATCTTCTTCTTTATGTTGATGATATGCTGATAGCTTCCAGGAGTCAGACAGAAATTGCGAAACTAAAGACTCAATTGAACAGGGAGTTTGAGATGAAGGATCTTGGTGAAGCGAAGAAGATTCTAGGCATGGAGATATCAAGGGATAAGAAATTGGGGAGGCTTTGTTTGTCTCAGAAAGAATATCTGAGGAAGGTACTAAAACGTTTTGGCATAAATGAGATGTCAAAACCAGTTAGTACACCTCTTGCTCCTCATTTCAAGCTCGGTGCATCCATGTCACCTAAGGATGATGCAGAACGGGAATACATGTCAAAGGTTCCGTATGCAAGTGCTGTTGGTAGCTTGATGTATGCAATGGTGTGTACGAGACCCGATATTTCACAGGCAATTGGGGTTGTGAGCAGGTATATGCATGATCCTGGAAAGGAGCATTGGCAAGCTGTGAAATGGATTCTGCGGTATATTCTGAACATCGTAGATGTTGGTTTGGTCTTTCAGCAGGACAAACAAGATGGTCAGTGTGTAGTTGGGTATTGTGATTCAGACTATGCAGGTGATTTGGACAAGCGTCGATCAACTACTGGTTATGTGTTTACATTTGCAAAGGCACCAATCAGTTGGAAGTCCACCTTACAGTCAACAGTGGCTTTGTCTACTACAGAGGCAGAGTATATGGCAGTTACAGAGGCTGTGAAGGAGGCAATTTGGCTTCAAGGGTTGCTTGGTGAATTGGGAATGGAACAAAAGCACATCAAAGTGCACTGTGACAGTCAGAGTGCTATTCATTTAGCAAAGAACCAGGTTTACCATGCAAGGACGAAGCACATCGATGTTCGATATCACTTTGTACGAGAGATTCTAGAAGAAGGTGGAGTCATAATCCAGAAGATTCGGACCACTGAGAATCCTGCTGATATGTTGACAAAAGTGGCAACTGCGGTCAAGTTTAAACATTGTTTAGATTTGGTCAATATTGTTACAAATTAAAAGATTGTTTTTTTTAGAGATGTGTGTGGAATTTGCCAAGGTGGAGATTTGTTGGTTTTTGGCAAAAGTCCCACATTGGTTGTGTATAAGGAGGAGGGGAAATTTTTTTGTTATAAATAAAGCCCTCCTCCTCCTTAGTTAATCATCCCACAAATATAAACCTTCTTCTATTTTAAAGGCTATTTGTATTCTTTCTCTCTTTGTAATATTTCCTCTATTAGTGAAATATTTTGGTGTTCTCTTTTATGTCTATTTAATAGCTATTGTCGGGTATAGTTGTTGTCAATTATTGTCCTATTAAAATTACTTGTCTTGGTAGTTCTGTCTAAGGAAAGTGGGTTTTAAGAGGGACCATTGTGACCCCTCCTCTTTCCTGGGAATCTACCTTGGGGTGATTTTTAGTACAATCGTTTTCACACTAGTCACCTAGATAATAGTTTTCACGGTGAATCTGTTATTGGTAGAAATTAACCCGAATTTCACAACATATAGGTCTAAGCCAAATCTAGCGAGATAAGATATAATTATTAATTTATTATCAGTTGATCTAGTGGTATAAGATGTTAAGTAATTTAAGTAAAGTCAATGATTCAAATGTTTGCGTTATTAAAGAATAAAATTAAATTAGAAATATTTTTTATAATAAACTTATACAATGATCGATCTAAATTAATAAATTAATAAATCAAATACAAATAACTATACGGGAAATTTATATCCATAATATCTAAACAATCCTTATATAATCATTTTTACTATATTAAAATAATTACTTATTGTTTAGAGAGTAAATAATAAAATTAAAAAATTTATACATGGACGTGTTCAAGCGTGACTGTCAAATCTACATATTGTCTCTCCACCTAGTCTCCTTCCTCTCTCTTTCCCTCTGAAAACTCTCTTTCGGTGCTTGAGATTTTAATCGGCGATTCTTTCTACAGTTCCACGGGAATCCCTCGTCTTCTTCCTCTCAATCCGTGTCTCCTTCGCTGAATATAACGGTTCAGGTTTTCAAGGTAGTTATGAAATAAATACTATACGATTATATGTAATTAGTTATTTCTGTTCATCTTCAAGAGAAATCAAACAAAATCAATTCTCTGTTTATGTTTCCTTCTTTTAGAGTTAAATTAATGGGTTTTTTATTTTCTTTGATGGGTTTTCTTCACTTTTTTCTTTCTCAAAAAGCTTCGATCTCATCAGTTTTTTATGTTTCCTGAGTTTTCTGGGAATTTTTCTTTACGTTTGTGATTTCTCAATTCAAAGGTTCTGTGGAATTCTTGTTTGAAACTCTGTGGTTTAGGTGAGTATTACCCGAGCAACATTAAAGAAGGTTCCCTTTTATGGAAATAGGATCTGCTTTTCCATTTCTCACCATAAATACTAATAATAATAGCAACAATAATAGTAATAATACTCAAATAAACAAATAATTTCTAACTACTCATAGTAATTATTTCCATCTCTCTTAATGTGATCCTGTCGGCTCTCTCATAAATGAATTGATAGAGAGATGGTAGACGGGGTAAATTTTAAATTTTTATATAATTTTAATATTTTTAATATTTTTATTGATTATAAATTTTTAAATTTATGCTTTTTGATATAAAATCACGTGTTGGTCTATGTTCTTACGCATTTGTTCTCTTTTCTTTCATCTGGTCTCAGATTTAGGGTTGGTTTTGCTTTGATAGAGCTCGGACACGATGAATACAATGGAGGACGATGTGGCGTATTCAGGGCTCGGCAATGGCGGTGGTGGTGCTAGGATGGATGCCAAAGTGGTGCAGACATTTCAGAAGAGCTTTGTGCAGGTCCAGGATATATTGGACCAGAACAGGTTGCTTATAAACGAGATAAACCAGAACCAGGAGTCCAGGATGCCTGACAACTTGACCAGAAATGTTGGGCTGATCAGGGAGCTCAACAGAAACATAAGGAGAGTGGTTGATCTCTACGCTGATCTTTCAAGCTCTATCATTGAATCCGTGGCTGGTGCTGGTGCTGGTTCCTGTGAGGGGGACTCGACTGCTGCTATGAGATGAGCTGGTCATAAAAGAAACAGGTCTGCTTGATATTTAAATATGTTGTTGTTATTACTAATTTTTTTCATGGTGGGAATGAAGAAAAGTTTCTCGGCAAATTGGTTAGATTATGTAACTTTCTAATATTTTAGTGGTTAACATTTTTCTTTATAAATTTGAATTCGATCTAACCAATTTAATTTATATAAAAAAATCATCAATTCCTTCTACCGTTTGCACATTATTGAGACCACTGTTCATTGTAAGATTAATACAAAACGTTTAAATTTCACTCATTTTTTTTACATATAATACTTTTCTATGAAATACATTCAAAATTCTCGAAAATCTGTATAAAGATTTAAAGTTCTAAATCTTCAATCTTTTCCGATGAAATTAATTTTGAAATATGTTGTTAATCTTTTCGAAATAATATTTTTTTTATTTAAATTTTCAAACAAATACTATTAAAAACAATATTTTTCAACTATTATTAAAAATGGTTGGCCCTTTTTATGAAATCAAGGCCTTGCATACATCAGCATGTGAATCTTCATAGATCTCATGGACACTAATGTGGACATCCAAGGATGGATAGACGGAGAGCGGATGAAAATGATCGGTTTATAAAAGTTTTGAAATTTTATATATTTTAGATATTTTTTAATTTTCAATTAAAGATATATATTTTTTCTTTAAAACTTTATAAGTTCACATTCTCTTAAAATTTTATAAATTTACCCATAACATAAAATCTTATATTTACGATTGTATACGTCTTAATAGGACAAAACATTGTGCAGTCACATTTTAAAACGTTTGTAGATAATCTTCCGCAACAAATAAGACTCCACCATCAAAGCTCTTGATGTACAATAATACTAACACTCTTGATCTACAATAAAAGAGATAGTGATCATATAAGTTAATGACGATTTATCATTCTTTTTTTTAATTTGAACAGATAATTATTAAAAATGATAGATGAAAGAATTTGATCCTTATTTGGGGGGAGAAAAAAATAAATAAAGTATGCACTTGTCGGGATCATCATGAAATTTATTGACAATTAAAAGACCAAAATTTTATTTAAAAATATCGAATTTCGTACTACTTAATCCAATGAAATAGATAATCTTTTTAATTTATTTGTTTTATGTTTCCATTAATGAAAAAAATCGTTTTCAGTGTGTACTAACGTTGCAGAGTAACTATTCTTGGTAACCTTACCGACAGTCTTAAAATTATTTGAAGTTGATTTTTTATCACTTTAGTATTTAAACAATTTTCTTGTTTAATTTAATTTTTAAACTTTTATTTCGTGAAATATATTATCAACTTCGTTTTTCCGTACTCAAGAAACGTATCGTATGGCTTATGATACATAGATATACAGTATACTAAAATCTAATAAAATCTAAAATATTTATAAAAATATTTTTGAAAAATAAAAATTTCTCAATTTTATCCTTCAAGGTTTCAAGGTGACAAACTCAGAATCTGATTGAATAAAATATACCGACTCAGGCATCTGATAATTGACTGGAAGTTCAATGCTTTTAGATTCACCAGTCTTGAAATTGTAGAAAATTGCAGTCCACAATCCGATGATGAATAAAGTATCGGCATTGTAGAATGAATCCACTCGAGCATGTGTAGTTCCTTCATTCAAGCTTTCCAGGTTCACCGTATGTTTTTTCATCCAAATTTGCCGGAAGCAACCTCTTAAAACCCATACATCCACCGAATTAAGGTCTTTACCGATGCATATCAACCCGAGGCTCCCTTGGCATGTTGTGAGGTTGATCGAATGCCAATTATTTCGACAAAGAAAGTTGGGCAATGATGTCATCGCCCAACTCTCTCTATCTACGTCAAAAGACAATACATTGTTATTTTGTCGTTCGACGTGATACGTAAGCCAATGAAGGCTGCCGCATGCAGAAACGGCCGGCTTATTGTTGAAAAGCTCGTAGTAAGATAACATCAAATCATCCAACTGCTTCCATTCCCAACTCTTTGAATCAAATATCTCGCAATGGTATCGTCTGTAATATCCATCGGACATAGAATATCTCGGTGTAGGCTCTAAATCGTCATGCCCGCTGTCGGAGAGTCGAACTATTTTAAACCGTAAAGGGTTCGATCCAAGCACCAACATGCCCATCTTTGTCGTAAAATATCTACGGTTCGGACCCGGGATGATTTCTGACTGTTGTGTGCTAGGTTTGCATATATAAAACTGGTCACGTCCAAATTGACTTGTGCCACAGAGAACCAAACCTTCGTAGACGGTCGCTAGAATCTTGACTGGTTCTCTTTTAGATAGAAAATCAAGGTTATTCAGAGTTAATTTTCGATCGATATCCATATTATCTATCGACAAGAAGAGCGAATCAAAACGATTTATTCTTCTTGAACCTTGAATTAAATATCCCACCATTGTTCTCGTCCTTTGAGAATGTGACTGCATGAAACTCGATTCATAGGTAAGATCCTTGTATTCCTTTGATAAAACCCGACACTTCCTCATCGTCTTCAATTCGGCTCTTGAGAAGATTTCGAAGAGAACATCCTTGTTAAAGATATGAGACGCCATGGATTGAGAAAAGAAAAACAACGAAAGAAGCTAGAATGAGAAGGAAGAAAAAACCCTGAGATAAATTTTGTGGTTAATACAAGATTAAAGCATTGTTCGTATATATATTATATATAGTTAGAGTAATAGTGGAATATAGGGTTTTAATTATTTAATTCAAACTAGGATTTTAAATAAAATAATAAAATAATATACATTAATTGCAAAAGAAATAGCAGTCGTTATAAACTGATTACGATAACAATGTCTGAATGTCTACTTCCCCAAAAAAAAGTAATTTTTTTTATTAAAAATAGTAATTTTTTATTAAAAATATTATTCGACAAAGAATTATAAATTTAAGGAATAAAATTATTTTTCATGTATTTATGTTTTATAATTAATAACTATTAAATGCTTTTTGTGTTAATGATTGTTTAAAAAATAAATTAAAAAAATTAAGTTCCTTCATGCGATATTATGTAATGTTTGAGATTCAATTAAGTAATGCGAGTTAAGTTGATAAATATGATAAATGAGAATGGAAGCTAGTTAACCTTTCTTAAGATATAATGCCTTGCACACATAAGCATGTGGGTCTTCATAAAGACTAAAAAATTTGCTTATAGTTGTATTCAGCTAGATAAAATAATATTAATAACATTCACATACAACAAAAGAGAAAAGAGATGAAAGTTGCGAATGTCAATGATAATTTTTTTATTTATGTCTAGGTGAAGAACAGTTAGAGACAATGAATGTCGGTGACATTTTATCTCTTTTAATTTGAAAGAGAGTCACTTGATAGGGTATACAAAAGAATGTAGTCATTGATCAAGAGAAGAGAAGAGATGAAAAGACTTGATCCGAGTTTGAGTCATACTTCATAGAAAAAGAGAGATAAATTTTTATATACTTTGTGATTTTGATGTCATATCATAATATCATATTATCGGGTAAGAAAGGGATATAATATATGTAAGTTAAATTGTTAGAATCATTATGAGATGTTATTTTTCTTGTCATCTAATTTATTTAATCTCTGAAAATGATTAAGTAAATTTGTCTATCTTATCTATTGATTATTTATTAAATCAGTGAACGAGGAAAATATAAATTTTGAATCAAAATTTACATAATAGATAGTGGAATTAAATGTTAATATCATAATTTTTTATCTACTTTATGATAGTTTTGATATAATTATTAATATTTAATTTTTTAATTTAAATCAAATATTACATAATTAATGGGCCTTGACTTCATGCAATCGAGAAACCTAAACATAACCCAAAAAGAAAGCCCACTTAGCATTAAAAAACCCTAGTCACGAATCACTATATTTTGCTACATCTTAAGCAGTTTTCGACTCCCATTTCTAGGGTTCGCAAGCATTAGTCTCCTTCAGATCTCAGTTTCTCTCCACTTCCACCTAAACCCTTGAAGAAGAGGATATGCTCAAAAAGAAGGTATTGATTTCAATGAAATTTTTTCTCCTGTGGTTCGACTAACAACAGTTCGAGTAGTCTTGGCAATGTGTGCTACATTGAATTTACATTTAGAGCAGCTAGATGTTAAAACAGCTTTTCTTCATGGAAATCTTGAAGAAGAGATTTACATGCTTCAGCCTGAAGGTTTTGAAGAAGAAGAAAAGAAGAACTTGGTTTGCAGGTTGAACAAATCTCTGTACGGTCTAAAGCAGGCGCCGAGGTGTTGGTATAAGAGATTTGATTCCTTCATTATGTGCCTTGGATACAACAGACTTAATGCAGACCCTTGTGCTTATTTCAAGAGGTTTGGTGATAACGATTTTGTTATATTGATGTTGTATGTGGATGACATGTTGGTTGCAGGACCCAACAAAGATCATATTGAAGAATTGAAGGCACAACAGGCTAGGGAATTTGAAATGAAGGACTTGGGATCAACAAACAAGATTCTAGGGATGCAAATTCACCGAGACAGAAGTAATAGGAAGATCTGGCTTTCACAAAAAAATTACTTGAAGAAGATCTTGTCACGATTCAGCATGCAAGATTGTAAGCCAATTTCTACCCTCTTCCTATTAACTTCAAATTATCCTCCAGTATGAGTCATAGCAGTGAAGAAGAGAGGATGGAGATGTCTCGAGTATCGTATGCATCAGCAGTGGGAAGTTTAATGTTCGCTATGATATGCACAAGACCAGACATTGCACAAGCAGTGGGAGTGGTTAGTCGGTACATGGCGAATCCAGGCAAAGAGCATTGAAATATTGTAAAGAGGATCCTAAGATACATCAAAGGGACCTCAAATGTTGCATTATGTTACGGAGGATCAAACTTACTTATAAATGGGTATGTCGATTCTGACTATGCAGGGGATTTGGATAAAAGCAAATCTACTACAGGATATGTGTTCAAAGTTACTGGTGGAGATGTAAGCTGAGTTTCAAAATTACAGTCAGTTGTGGCTACATCCACAACAGAAACAGAATATGTAGCAGCTACACAAGCCAGTAAAGAAGCAATTTGGTTGAAGATGCTATTGGAGGAGCTTGGGCACAATCAAGAGTATGTCTCTCTATTTTGTGACAGTCAAAGCGCCTTGCATCTAGCAAGGAATCCAACATTTCATTCAAGGACAAAGCACATACGAGTTCAGTACCATTTCATTCGTGAAAAGGTAGAAGAAGGGGCAGTAGATATGCAGAAGATCCATACTAAAGACAACATAGCAGATTTCATGATAAAGGCGATCAATGCTGATAAATTTTCTTGGTGTCGATCCTCTTGTGGCCTGTCAGAAACGTAAGCAACATGAAGGTACAAGGTAGAAAGAATTGTGTGAAGATATGATTGTTCTAATCAAATCTTCAAGTGGGAGATTGCAGAAAATTCAATGCACCGAAAGGTGCAAGTTGAAATTTGAAAGAAAAAAAATAAACAAATGCACCGAATGATGCATAGTCAAAAAGGTGCAACAATTTGTTGAAAAAATGAAAGGGGAAATTACAAACTTTAGTCACTAAACTTTAGGGTATTTACAAATTAGTCCTTATGATTCAACTATAAATACCCTAGCTCATTTAGCTTCAAAATCATCCCAAAGCATTCTAGCTTTCTTCCAATACTAGAGAGAATTTAGAGAGTTTCTTGAGAGTTGTTTTCTCCTTTTTATCAAGAGAGAATTATCATTGTTTTCTCCTTGGTAGATCGGGAGAAGTTGTAATTCATGTTTTCTCATAGTGAAATTCTTCTACTGTTACCCGTGGTTTTTACCCTATATTATTCAGGGGTTTTCCATGTAAATTTTGTGTCTCTTTTATCTTCATTTTTATTTTCTCAAATTATCAGTTGCGATTTTGCTCTATCCGATAGCCGTCTTCCGCAACACCATACACACTGAGATCATAATCAGAGAGCCACCCGTACCCAAAATGTTCTCGGTATTTTTCATATATTTTTTGTATTTTTTATTAGTATTCTATTTTCGTTCTCTAAAATTTTATAATTTCCTAGTCCTTTAAAACTTTAAAATTTCCCCTAATATCATATTCTACGATCGTCCCAAACCATCTCACTAGCCAAGTGCACCGCATCCAAAATTTGCATTCCCTAATGATCCCACAACCCTAAACATGGCTCCACCACTTACTACTTGGAACTTCCGAGTATTAGGGGACACAAGTTACGTAAATAAAAGACAATGTGTAGCAGGATAAGTCTAAAGCGAACATCACACACCAAAACAAATTATTAATGCGACATACCGATACACATAACTAATTAAATTGTTTTTATTAAAGAAATATAATAACCTATCTACAATTAATCCTTTAGTAAAATTTAATTATAATTATAATAAAAATATAATCAAATTACAATTTTTATTAAAAACAATGATTAATTTAAGAATTTTTATTTATTTATAATTAAAATTGTTAACTTATATAATTTTAGGGTTCATCGCAAATTAACCCAACAACAATCAACACTCGATCGCCAACGACCAACGTTTATCACCGAAAAACCGTTTTCCTCTGTACAAGTTGAAATTTGCAATTCTGAATTGGGATTTTGGCGTGTGTGAGTGAGCTAAATTCAATTAAGGAGTGATCTATACATTTGCATATAGGAAGTGACTTGAAATCTAACCAAGACCAGAGATAATAAAGGTAAAATATAGATCTTTATTCCGAATGAATTTCTAAAAGGAAAACATAATCTAGAGGAAGAAGAAGAACTGAACTAGATCTACTCAAACAACTGAAGGGAACCATGTCTGTAGCAGTGATTGTCGAAGAAAACGATTTTTCGACCATAAACGATAATCGTCGGCAGTCTATTGTTGATGGTTGTAATTAGGCTAATCTACGATAAATCTAAAATTATATAAGTTTTCAGTTTTAATTTTAAATAAATAAATTATGTTTTAATAAAAATCATAATATAATTATGTTTTTATTAAAATTAAAATTTAATAAAGGATTAATCGGGAATAAATCATTATACTTTTTAATATTTTCTAATAAAGATAATTTAATTAATGGTGTGTATCGGTGTGTTGCATTAATATTGTATTTCGATGTGCGACGTATATTCTATAATTTTCTATGTATAGCATGTGGTATTAACTAATAGGGGCGAGAGGTATAGTGTAAACATTCATTTGTTTTTAATGATTCGTAAAGTTTGTTAGGTAATAGAATTTTGCTTTATTTGGGTGATAAAAGCATAAATTTATCTAAAAATCATCTAAATATAGATTATTTATCACATTATTATAAATAATATATTACTATATTTTTATCTGTTAATTTAGACAGATATATATCAAGTCCATTATTATTTTCGTAATCGTAATACAACGACTACAACTTTTGCAGGCGGTTATCCAACTCAATAGTGGATTTTGTAGTTAATTTATTATTTTATTTAAAATCCTAGTTTCAATTAAATAATTAAAACCCTATTCCCACTATTACTCTTAACTATATATACACAAAATACTACATCTTTCGTTGTTATTCTATTTTCAATCAATGGCTTCTCATGACTTTAACAAGGATGTTGTCTTCGAAATCTTCTCCAGAGCCGAATAGAAGACGATGAGGAAGTGTCGGGTTTTATCAAAGGAAGTCAAGGATCTCACCTATGAATCGAGTTTCATGCGGTCACATTCACAAAGGACGAGAACAATGGTGGCATATTTAATTCAAGGTTCAAGAAGAGTAAAACATTTTGATTCGCTCTTCTTGTCGATAGATAATCTGGATATCATTCGAAAATTAACTCCGAATATCCTTTATTTTCTATCTAAAAGAGAACCCGTCAATATTCTAGCCACCGTCTACGAAGGTTTGGTTTTCTGTGGCACAACACAATTTGGACGTGACCAATTTTATATATGCAAACCTAGCACACAACAGTCGGAAATCATCCCGGTTCCGAACCGTAGATATTTTACGACAAAGATGGGCATGTTGGTGCTTGGATCGAACCCTTTACGGTTTAAAATAGTTCGACTCTCCGACAGCGGGCATGACGATTTAGAGCCTACACCGAGATATTTTATGTCCGATGGATATTACAGACGATACCATTGCGAGATATTTGATTCAAAGAGTTGGGAAAGGAAGCAGTTGGATGATTTGATGTTATCTTACTACGAGCTTTTCAACAATAAGCCGGCCGTTTCCGCATGCGGCAGTCTTTATTGGCTTACGTACCATGCTGAACTACAAAATAACAACGTATTATCTTTCGACGTAGATAGAGAGAGTTGGGCGATGACTTCATTGCCCAACTCTCTTTGTCGAAACAACTGGCATTCGATCGACCTCGTGACATCCGAAGGAAGCCTCGGGTTGATATGCATCAGTAAAGACCTTAACTCGGTGGATGTATGGGTTTTAAGAGGTTGTTTTCGGCAAATTTGGATGAAAAAACATACGGTGAACCTGGAAAGCTTGAATGAAGGAACTACACATGCTCGAGTGGATTCATTCTACAATGCCGATACTTTATTCATCACCGGATTGTGGACTGCAATTTTCTACAATTTCAAGACTGGTGAATCCAAAAGCATTGATCTTCCACTCAATTACAATGACCTGAGTCGGTATATTTTGTTCAGTCAGATTCCGAGTTTATCCAGTTGAAACCTTGAAGGAGAAAGCTTCCATCGATCAAATTTTCAAATTATTGTTTTTATTTTTACTTTTTTATTGAGTATTGAAATTATGCACTTATTAATCAAACTTTCTATTTCTTAACCAAAAATTCGAGTCTTGTGTGAATGAGTTGTTAGAATTTTGTGATTTGAGTTTTGTATTTTTTTTATTAATCTAAGATAAATAAAGGTAATCTATGTGGGACATTGTTGCACATACTGAATCTGTATAAGATCATACTTTTACTAACAAACGTTGATTAGGAGTATAAAACCTAATTCCAGTGGATTTATCAAATTTCTTTTTATAATCAAATAGTTATTCTTACAAATATATACTAGGGGTTAAGTTGAGAATAAGTTGGTTGAGCCACGCATAATTACGTATCTTTTGTATTCTTTTTACTTTCAACATTAATAAAAAAAAATCTTTTTTTTTTTGCTGTGATTTTTTCCTGTCAAAATTTTTTTCATGTAAAATCTTAATTCCAGTATTTTATTTGCTGGATTGTTTTCATTTAGGGTGTTTTTGTATTTTTGTCTTGGGCGTTCGATATTTTTATTTCTCTTTATCTAGGACCTTGTTATCCACTGTTCAGTGGTATTATAATATTAATAAAATTAATGCTGTGTAAAAAAAATCAAAACTTTTATTAAGGAGTTAAATGAATTTATAAATATTTGGAGTTAGTGTAATTTTGTTATTAATTTATAATTACGTAAATTCTTAAGGAAAGGAAGGGAGTCAGAGAAGGGGGAATTCCCAATCATTTTCACAGTCTAATGATTGTACGTTTGCCTTGTCTTTATTCTTTTTGGCCAAAGATTTTATGCGTCATTTTTCTTCACCACATCTTTTAGATTGACAATCAATTATTATTAATACCCAATTGCCTAATCACTCATCTTCATTAGCATTAGATACCTCTACATATAGTCTTCACTGCCTTTGTAAAACCCTTGGTCATATCGAAAAAAAAAAACTCTTCTTTTGAATATGGGAGACTCGGACACTCCAGGCCCTTCTTCTTCTGTTTCTTCCAAGTCAAATTTACCTATGCTTTACTACGGCCTCGTAGTTGTCGGAACGGCCACTATCGTGCTGGCTATATACAACCTTATCATCATCCGGTGGTGCACGCGGCGCCATGATGACTCTAACCGGAGAGCCCGACTTGCGCAAATGGCTGCTGGAAGGAGTTCTGAAAACCAGAGCAGGATCCTGCTGTCAAGCTTCAAGTACAAGAAAGGAAGCGGCAACATGGGGTCGGAAGACACGGGTGGAGAATACGAATGCCCGGTTTGTTTATCAAATTTTGAAGATGGAGACGAAGTGAGGCAGCTACCTAGGTGCAAGCATTCTTTCCATGCCCTTTGCATAGATATGTGGCTGTATTCTCACTCTGATTGCCCTTTATGTCGTGCCTCCGTGGATCCCGATCCGTCTCCGATGTGCCAACGACAAACGGTGAATTCGAGGGAAAATTCTTCTGGCATCCCAGTCCTAGTTTGAGTTTGCCAATTTTGTTTTGAGTTCTTTTGGCTCTGTTTGTTGATTGATTATAGGTGGGCCTAAGATGAGATGCGTGTCCATGTTAACAAAGACTAGGTTTAGAAAGCCAGCTAGCTGCCCATGTGGATACAGTGCAACTCATTTTAGAGCTCTAACTGGGGCCATGAAATATAGCTGGCTAGCCATGTCCCTTCCCATTTTGTACATATCCTCATAATCTGCTAATCATCGAGTCGGACATGTGAAAAGATATTTTTCCGATGAAGGCGGTAAGTATTTTTATTCAAGGAAAAAATTCTACTTTTTTTTACAAGAGGATACATCGGATATTTATATACAAGAATTAGAGATATAGATAAAATAGGAGTCATCTACAAAATAGGAGATAATTTTATAGCTAAGTTAATACACAGAGTTTGATTCAAACACTACTCACACTCCCCCTCAAGTTGGCGAGTAAATATTGTAAAGACCCAGTTTGGATGTAATTTCGTCAAAGATTATCCTTGGAATAGTCTTGGTCAATACATCAGCTAGCTGGTTTTGTGAAGAGACGTAGTTTAGTTTCATAGTTCTGCCATTTACTTTTTCTACAATGAAGTGTCTGTCGATCTCCACATGTTTAGTTCTGTCGTGGTGCATCGAATTCTTTGCAATGCTTATCGCAAATTTGCTATTACTCTGAAGTTCAAAATAGTTATTGTCGCACATCTCTAGTTCAATTAAGAGTCTTTGTAGCCAAATTCCTTCACACATCCCGAGTGCTATCTCCTTATATTCTGTTTCTGCACTGCTACTGGAGACTACTGATTGTTTCTTGCTTCTCCATGTCATTAGGTTTCCCCACACAAATGAGCAATATCCTCTGCAACCCATCTTGAATCTGAGAAGATTTTAACTGTTTTGTCTTCATTTTTTCTGAAAACCAACCCATGTCCTGATGTCATATTTAGATATCTTAAGATTCGATTGACTGCCTTCAGATGTTCTTCTCTTGGATCATTCATTTATTGACTAACAATGCTAACATGAAAAGCAATGTCAGGTCTAGTTAGAGATAAATAAATGAGTTTACCAACTAGCCTTTGATAAATTCCTTATTTATTGGATTTTCATCTTTACTCAATTTCAAGTTAACTTCTATAGGAGTTTCCGAGGTCTTACAATTCATCATTCCAGTTTCAGAAAGTAAGTCTAGAATATACTTTCTTTGATTTATGATAATTCCTTCTCGTGATCTCGCTACCTCCATGCCTAGAAAATATCTCAGAGTTCCCAAATCTTTGGTTTCAAACTCCTTTGCTAGTAATGTCTTCAACTTTTCGATTTCTACTAAGTCATCACTCGTGATGATGATATCATCAACATAGACAATCAAGATTGACTTCTTCTTATTAGGAGCAGTTTTTACAAACAGTGTGATCGGATTGACACTGTTTGTAGTTGTCTTGTAACATTTTGTGAATCTATCAAACCAAGCTCAAGGTGATTGTTTTAGACCATATAAGGATTTCAACAATTTACATACCTGGTTATTTCCAGAATGGATTTCTGGTGGAACTTGCATATAAACCTCTTATTTAATATTACCATTGAGGAATGCATTTTTCACGTCTAGTTGGTGAAGTATCCAATCCTTGTTTACCACCAAGGATAATAGAACTCAAACATTGTTGAGTTTTGCAACTGGAGCAAAGGTCTCTTGATAGTCAACTCCATAAGTCTGAGTGAACCCTTCTGCCACAAGTCTAGCCTTATATCTCTCAGTTTTCCATCTGCCTTGAATTTCATAGTAAAAACCCATTTGTAGCCTATTGGTTTCTTGTCTTTAGGTAGATCAATGATGACCCAGGTTTTGTTGTTTTCTAGAGCTAAAATTTCTTCTTCAACTACCTTCTTCCACTCAGGACTTTTTAATGCATCCTCTATGGTCTCTGGAATGTGAATATGGTCAACTTGAGTTGTGAAAGTCTTAAAACCAAGCATTAGTTTCCGATAAGCAACAAATTTACTAATAAAATGAATTGTACATTGTCTAACTCCCTTTCTTTGAGCAATTGGTAACTCACTAGTATCAATTACCACATCCAACTTACTTTGGTCACCATTTCCTCTGTCTGTCGATGGATTTAAACCCGATTCTGGCTCTTGACAATGTATTGGTTGCAGTGTGGAAGGTAGAGCTTGTTTGGGGCGTCTTTTATAGGTGAGAATGTCGATAGATGGCCTGAGTGTTTCATGAGAGTCGGTAGGATTAATGGATTGGTTTTCATTATTAGATGTGGTGGTGTTAAGAGGTTGTGGAGTGGTAGCTTTTTCAGTAGAAGATGGACTGATGAGTAATTCAGTAATAATTGGTAAAAATTAAAATTTAGACTCACTCTCCTCCTGGATTTCGGTTTTTGAGAAGAATGGTGTATGCTCTTGAAAAGTGACATCCATAGAAGTGAAGAACCATTTTGTAGAAGGAGAGTAACAACGATAACATTTTTGAATGGATGAATAACCAACAAAGACACACTGAATTGCTCGAGGGTCAAGTTTAGATTTATGAGGATTATGGTAATGGACAAAGGCAGTACAACCAAAGACACTAAGAGGAATAGAAGCAGTAAAAGGTTTGAAATGAGGAAACTTGGTGGAAAGAATATCCCAGGGACATTTAAAGGCAAGTATCTTACTAGGCAGACGATTGATTAGAAAAGTAGATGTTAAGAGAGCCTCATCCCAAAGTTATTTCGGAACAGAAGCACGGGGTGATGGGATTTTTATAGGCGAGGGAGTGGCAGTGCAAAGAAAGCACACTGCCAGTCGGATTTCTGTCAAATGGCAACAGGAGCAAAGATGGGATCGACGCCAACGACTGGTACTATGTAAAATGATATTTTTCTGATGAAGGCAGTAAGTATTTTATCCAAGTAAAAAATTCCACGTTTTTTACAAGAGGATACATAGGATGTTTATATACAAGAATCAGAGATCTAGATAAAATAGGAGTCATCTACAAATTAGGAGATAGTTTTAGAGTTAAGTTAGGACACAGAGTTTGATTCAAACAGTACTCACAGGTAGAGATGCACATAGTCGGATTTAAATCCGATCCGGATCGGATAAAAACATATCCGATTTTTTTACCAAGTCAAAAAACCGGTTTATAAAAAAATCGGTTCGGATCATAACCGGTTTGGAGAGCCGAATGATGTAACCGGTGTAACCGGTCTCGGTTTGAAAAAAACCGATTTTTAATCCGGTAAAAAATCCGGTCATATAATTTTTTGAACCTCAGACCGGATTTTTTCCGGATAAAAAATTCGGTTGTCCAATTTTTTCCCAAACCGGTTATACTATCCGGTTTTAAAATATCCGATCCGGTTTTAAAAAAACCGGTTTTTCCCAAATCCGGTTTCGAATATTTTTTGCGTAAAATCGGATATTCGGATTTTTTGTGCACCTCTACTCACAGGACAAGAGTGCCAGATATTTCAAGAAAAATGAAGAGTCCGACCGACAATGACACGAGATAAAAATCCCACCGGAAAAACGAAGATATTGCAGCCACCTATCTAAGTTTTTGTGCCTGCCATGGTGGGTGCAACAATGTGCTGCAATGATCGATAGTGAGGTTATGTCGAAACCTGAACAGAAATGAGCTTAATACAAAATATGCAGGGTCAATAATACCAGAAAAGTGACCGGCACGTGAGAATACTAGTGCAATCTCCTCCTGCGAAACAGGCTCCACACTTACTATCAATGATCATTTAACTTCAAAACAAGAAGAAAGCATTATATCTAGCAATCTCAGATTTCAACAAAGATGAGGCAATGACACATGCGTCCAAATAGAATGAATTAATCATATAACCTATTTACTGCTAAAGCATGTAGAAATTTACAAAACGTAATTTATTATAGTTTCCGTGTATTTCCAAATCCCGACTCGATAAACTCCGGCATGGGTTTCCCAAATGTTACAATCCATATGTATTTTCGCCTTCCACTGTGGCGGAAATTGTTTATATATTATACAAAAGAGTAATAAGGCAAACTTACTACATCCTTCTCAAATTATCTAGCCTTGCCTGTAAGTCGCTATCTATCCCACCGTCATCATTCCCAGTTGCTTCTGCCTGTGCAGCAACTTTTCCCTTTGAAGCTGGTGCCGCAACAGCAGATGATGGTGCATTGACGAGCTGTGAATCGGATCATGATAAGCAGAGTTAGTACATCGTAATAAAATATTTATGGTGAGAAAGGAAAACTATTAAAGCTATGTGCAAGAAATGGTGAAAAATATTACCTCTTGATTGATATCAATTCCAATCTCATCAAGAACTTGGTTGACAAGTTCTTCTGTTTCTTCTTCTTCCTCATCCCCTTCCAAAGCATCGTCAATTGCATCACCCATTACCTCACTAATCATCTCCATCTTCTCATTTTGCATCTCAAATTCTTGCATAATTTTCTGCAAAGACGGCAAGTTCATTTGTCTGTTCATCTGGCCCATTGCCTTTGTCACACCTTTCATTGCTTCTCCCATTGCTTGTGTCGATTTCAGTGTCTGGAAGTTGTATAGAAAAGTAGTCAAGCTTTAAACTTCACAAATACAATAACAATTTTATCCTCTGCCATAGACAACCCATCAGAAAAAGTTTTTCTCCTCGTCTTATTTGGAGACAGCTTAAAGTTAAGTTTATTCAACATTCTCAGATGAGAATTGAGCTATGAGAAGTGAACATAACTTTCAAAGTACACGCTGATGGTGAAAATCTGCGCACTTCAATTCATTGACACAAAGATAAAATGTATAGACAAAAGAACATACTTGAATTCGAAGAGAGACGCCTTGGAGCTGTGATTTAAGCTTATAGAACTTTTCAATCTGATGTCGTGTTCGGATAAGGTCTTTCGCCATTACCTTTACAGCTCCCTGAAATAATTTTCCATCAAGAAAAGCATTTTGAGGATATAGATTAGGTAGGCATGAAAGCTGATTCATGTTGAACAACAAACAAGTAGATCATGTATAACAACTTAAAAAATAGTAATTTCCCCAATAAGGCATGGAAAATACAATGTTGAAGCACAATGCGAAACTATATGACTGTATCACTCGATTAATATCAACATCATAGATGTGTACATAATCAAGCACCAAACTTATAAAAAAATGCATACTCTAACACATATACTATATGCATTTTGTTTAAATACCGGAAAGAAAAACAAAGATTGTCAACTTTTTCATAGAAATGGTAAGATGTCTGTGAAAATTGTTGTCAA